TAATTACATGGCAGCAGTGTTTTTTTCTCCTTCTTTATGGTTGATGATTGGAGGTGGATGAGGTACACAGTCAAAGGATAGACGTTCCTTGCAGTATCAACTTTCCATTATCCTAATATAGCTTATTTATGTGCTCTCCTATTTTACATGGATTTTTGTGGGGGGATACATTTCACTTCATTCTTAAAGATGTTTCTTTCAAGCCTATGCATTCATGCAGCATAATAACTGCAAACTGACCATCGGCTTTCAACTACTAGTTCTATTTTTTTTTCGAGGGAAGAGAAAAAAGTAGTTATCGAAACCCCATTGTTGAATTTTCTTTTATTTCGCTAATTTAACAAAATTTGTTCAGAATATAATTCTTAGTAAATGAGATTGGTTTGCTGAAGACGAGTTGACCTGGATAATGTACAAAACAGAACTAAAATAATTACTCAACTAATATGTGTATAGTAATGAGCAGTAGAGCAAGACCTCTAACAACATGATGTAGTAGAAGTCTTCCATGTGCTGCATCAGCGCAGTGCCATCTCTGATTGAACGGAGTAGACTTATTTCAGTCTGCAGTATTTTTTCAACAAGCTGCCTCTCACCTTTCATCTGCATCAAATGGTTTTATAAGATATCAGAGCGATGCCAAATATAAGTTCATCATTGCCGAAATCATTTGAGCACGTTCTAACTAGAAGCATACAAATCTAGAGAGAATCACGTTATAGTTTTTTCATCAGGGTAGAGAGGTCCTAAAGAGAATAGTTGTATTACATAAGAAACAAAAATTGGCCTCGAGGTCCCATTACATCACTATGTGATCATTGGATCTAGTGCTTCAATAATCAGAAAAGCTAAATGAGATAACAGATAAAAAGTATACCAGCCTGCTATGATATGAAGTTATTAATTTATAGTATATGTATATCCCCCTTGTAATAATAATGCTTTACAAGTATACATAAAGTTGATATAGATAAGGAAAAATTTATTCAGATGCATCTATGTGATAGACATGAATGCTGCCAACATAAGAAGATTTACAGTCAGAAGCAATGATGAATGCCTAGAGTTTAACAACAATTACAAAGCTTTAATCCGAAATATTGTGTCAGCTACATGAATCATATTCTTCCATTTAATTTTGTTAATGGTAATCTCTTTTGTTAGCTATTACCATATCCTTCTTATAGTTTCTTCCAACCAAGTTCTCTTAAGCCTGCCTCTAGTTCTCTTTGTTCCATTAACTATTATCTTAACTGGTGCATTTAGTGACCTTTATTGAATATAATCAAACCATATAAATTGATTCTCTCTCATTTTAACCTCAATAGAAGCAACCTCGTACCTCCTACGTGTTGGGAACAACCTTATATTTCAGGAAATCTTAGTTGGACTTAGATTGGGGATTGAATTTAATTGAAAATAATCAAGTGCAATTGGAATTCAATTCTAATTGGAGAGAATTAGAATTGATAATCCAAGTCAAAGGATTCCTACATGAATTCAAGGGAGGGGAAAACTCTGTAAGTAACCCTTGAGAGGTTCATTGTAAATCAACCACAAGAAAGTCAAAGAGAGTTGCTTATTATAAAAGAGAGGTATAGAGAACTAGAGAGAGAAATCTAGGGTTTTGAGAGACCTTTTGGTGAGATTGAGAGAGGGTTCCTAGTGGAATCCTTGGAGATTACAAGAAAGATTGTATCTTTGTAATCTCTAGAATAAAAGAAGACTCAATTTTCTTCCCTGAACGTGGGCAATTATTGAACCATGTAAATCCTGTGTTTTTGTATATTGATCTATTTTCTGTGGTAGATTGCCTTTACTCTTTTATTCGAAGTAGTATTTTCTTGGTGCTCTCACATTATCCGGTGATTGATTGGTCTACAAAGATGGAGGAGATCTAATCAGGTGTTTCAATGATGCTTCCACAAACTACGCTTCCGCATAGATCGCTGGTTGGTGTGCAACGATCGGTATCGGGCAGCTGGTCATGTGCGCCAACACTACGAATGCACTCATTTTTATCCTCTCTCTCAATGTCTATACACAAGATCATCAAAACATTCTCACCAAACAGTGCAATACAGATAAATGAAATACATCAAGAAGAAAGCTACATGAGGATATCTTTCATAATCTACATGAAAGAAGCAAAACATCATGATATGACACTTTAGAAGAAGCATGGACAAGCAGGACATCAGAATGCTCCTCAATCATTCAGTCCTCTGATCCTAAGCTTTGATTGCCCACATGGATGGGCTGCACAGATAAGCAACTATGATAAACAGACAGCTGCTTAATAGGTTGATATGAAGCTCCATGAGGCACATTTTTGTAATGGCTGTTGTTCATCATAGAAACTAGATGATCTGGTGATGTGCAGGTAGCTTTCACACACCAACTTGCCAATCTTGGCAAAAGACAAGTCTTGAGTTTTCTGATGTAACAATCAGCCACAAAAGGGCCACGCTCGGGCAGGGTGGGTGGGTGTATATTTCTTTCTATTCATTTTTCTTCTTTTTATTTCCTTTTTGTGCGTGTTTTTTTTTGGGTTTTTTTCTTTTTTTTTTTTTCGGTTTTTCACACACATTAATTAAGTAATGTTTGTCAGGAGATGAATTTGTTGTTAATATGAAATCATGTATACACAAACTGGCACTGGTTGATAAATAAAGCTGGAGTTCATGTTTAAGTGATAAGCCATGAACTACCTCATAAGTAAGATAAACAAGCAGAGAATTTATTGATAGTGACGCTGAAAGTCATCATGACGAAAAACTAGAGGCATCAGCCTGGAGTTTTCTCCTGAAGTAAAGACATTTTTTTGGCAAATTAAGTGTTGGCAAATGTGAGATTCACCCTAAGGCTCCTGCAACTCTGATTACATTAATGTACAGAAAATCCGCACCTACATATGAGTCGTAATGCAACCATTGTGCTCTTGTACTTAAATATCATGTAGATAAACAAATGAGCACGTTATGCAGATTAGTAAATCAACATTCAACAAATTTAGCAACTACATATGCTTAAATTGAAGCAACACCTAAAATAAGTGAACCTCCTGCCGTAGAATATCAAAAACTACTTTCAAGCAAGAGTTTAGAACACATCTGACTCAACAAATGTTTCTGCAGGTGAACAAACAGAGAAGCTAGGGGCGAGACTTACAAACTCACTAACAAGAACATCAGGTGTGGACTCTCCAATAACATCGCCTTGATATTCATTTTCAAGAAGCTCACCTTTAACCTGTAACAATATGTATTGCATGAGATTTAGAGCACTGATCACAGACGATTAGGACGGATGAAATTTCACAATAGAAGCTTTTTTACCTTCCAGTTTAAAATATAGGCACATGGGCTCTGGAGTGTGAAAATGCAGCACAACTATTACAAAGTGTGTGCAGAATTTTCTCATAAATGCAAAATTCAATTTATATTTTATAGTAACAAATCTATACTACTATATGTAAAACCCTGTAAATTTGAAAATATTGTGAAAAATAATATTAAATAGTTTTTATCATGATTGATACTATTATGAGATGAATGAGTATGTTAGAAATCGATATGAGATCGATTAAGTATATATATGTATGTATATAAGTGTAAATATGCATAAATGCGAAAACCTGTAAGTCACTTTCTGTGTTCTAGTCGATCGACCGGTCCTAGCAAACCAGTCGACCGATGAACATAGGTCGGTCGACCAACCCAAGCAAACCGGTCAACCGATGACAGACAGATTCCAAGTAGGATTTGTTTCCGGGTCAAACTATTTTGTTTCGGGTTTGTTTGTATATATATGAGTATATATACCCGAAAATTCCCTTTTTCTTCATATTTTCACATGAACAAAAGCCACCCTCCCCTCAAAAACCCTAGAGTTTATTTTGTGAGTTTTGAGAGCTTTGAGAAGCAAGAATCTAGAGGAGGGCAAGATCCGTGGTTTTTGTGAAGGAGGATCGTTCTCACGCGTGTTTGGACGTTCAACACGACTTGTTGAGGCGAGTTTCATCTCCTCCAAACTCATCCCCTGTATTTAAATATTTTTATTTGGTTTTATTGATCTTTAAAACCTAGTTTATGTATAAAAATCACTCGTTTCGAACTATAGGATATAAAGATTGAATCTTTTTGATTTAAAGAGTTATAAAACGGATTCTCCGATTTGGGTTTAAGATTTTATACAGATCTAACATGAGATTTTGATAAAGATAGTTGTTTTCATGAAGAATTTATAAATATAATCATGTTAGGGTTAGTGAATCCCCTCAAATGTTTATATCAGTGTTTTCATGAAGTGGTACGAACCTTAATTACATTAAAACAAGATTATAAACATGTGTTTATGTGAAGATTTTGATTTTTTGTAAGAAAAACAGATGTTTACAGGATATTGAAGACTTACCTCTGGTCGGTCGACCGAAGCACAAGCATCGATCGAGCGGTCAAGGCTGAATTGTTTTGGTGCACGCTTTGTGCATGCCGTCGGTCGATCGATGACGATACATCAGTCGACCGGTCTAGTGTTATTTGTAAACTTGATGTTTTTGTCGCGTGAGTTGATTGTGAACACGAAGTTCGGGTCCGCGTATCGAGACACGTGTTTGGCCACTGGAGTACACGTATTGGGTTTGCGTTCACATGAGCGGTTGAGGTGCGAAATCTAACATTTTGAATTTGTCACGTTAGAGTGACTTTGTTTCGGTTTATGATAGTTGTGGATGCTTGAGTAGGGTTAGTCGGTATTCCCGCAATGAGACCGCAGCTGGACTACACTCAGAGTGCGTTAGTTGATTTTCTCGCAATGAGACCGCGGGGCTGAACTACACTCTATGTTGCATCATTGTATCCGAGATTAGGTTGATATGCCTATTCTCCGCAGGGTATTCAAGGCACATTGTATCTGGGTTTAGACTGATAAACCTATACTCCGCAGGGTGCCCGAGTCATCGTTGGTTTCCGTGTTTGGGTTGATATGCCTATTATCCGTAGAGTATTTGAGTTTGTGCTTTGCTCCCATGTTACTCACTTCGAGAGTAGAGAATAAGGTTGCATTATATATATACACAACGTATCTTAGACGGATATTTATCCTTATTGTTGTGCCATCTACCGATGGTAGTGTATCATTTTTGACATGACTTGCATTGGATGAGGATTGGTATGGTATCTTCTTTGTTGTTCATTTTCATTTATAGGATCTTGCAGTTGGGATTTAGCGATTCACAATTTGAGATACATGGGTATATACATGAGGGTTTCCTTGTTTGGATTATTTCGCTCGACGTATTCATTCTCGTGTTGTGGATTTCTATATCTTAATTTTCAGGATAGATGTTTTATATATCTATATGTACTAGCTTGTATTTTCTTACACCTACCCCATTTTCCTGGGGGCGGTGGAAATATTCTCACTAGGGCTTTAACGCTCGTTGTTTCCCCTCTTTTCAGGCAGCAAGTCAGACGTCCGGCGAGTCACAGGTTGATGGAGTTTCGATTTAGCTTCCATCATTATTTATTATTAGTAGTTTATTTGTGCTCCACAGTAGTTATGGTTTATTTTCAGACATTAGAGTTGTATTTTATTTTGGAAGGTTATTTCAGTTGACTCTTATGTATTGAGATATTTCATCTATGTTTCAAACATCAGTTGTACTTCATTTATTTCAGTTGGAACAAGATAATGATTATTTTGATATCTCCTTCCTTTATCATGTTCATTGTATTCCTATCTTTATTTTATATGTTTTGTACCTACACTTGATTATTGTTGATTCCACTAGAGAGATATTACTGTGATGGTGAAACGTGTTGTTGCATAGTGTGGGTGCATGATAGGTTTGACATATTTGGGTTCACCTAGGACTGCAGCCTTGTATGAAACCAGGGGCGTCACACTATATAATGGCCTGAGTGAGATATGCAAAATGTGGATAAGGGTGGACAAGTTCCTTCTCACGAAAGGATGTTTGAGGGTAAAAACTAAAGAGACTGCATCATGCACATGTTTATTTATGAGGATAGAATAAAAATAAACTACACCTGTCATCTGAACACTTTGCCACCTTTGATTATCTAGCAAAGCTGACTAGAGTAAATACGTAGGCATATTACAATGGAAAATTTTACTATAACATCATGCAGAATGTTGGACATACTTTTTATGAAATTAATGAAGCATGTAAGTTTATTTTTTTATCATTACTGGATTGCAGGAGCATGTAAGTTTATTTTTTATCATTACTGGATTGCAGGTTAAGTGTATCAATATCTGTTCACGTTTATCATGTTTCCATTTACGCTCAGCAATTTGACAAAATGCGATGGAATATGGCATGTTTCTTATCATTCTATATGGAAGAAAACAATCATACAGCTGTCCAAGGGACCAAGAGTCCAGGTTGGTTTAACACGCCGTCACAAATCCTGAGTTGGACTATCAACTTAATTTTTTAATATGACAAATACCAAGCAAGCAATACAAAAAAAGAATGTTGAACAACAAGAAAGAAGAATTAAATCAAAATTCACAGTTCACAATTCTACACAACATCCATAATGACCGTATCTATAGGCTGAGGTTTGGACATAGTACCCACCAAAGCCTCCTTCAGATCTCCAGCTACAAGATAGACAGGCTGGGCCACGTGGCAATAACCCATCAAGCGGGGAACAGTTGGAATAATATCTCTGTGATTCACAACTCTCCAGCTATCTTTGACTTTCTGCATATTTCAGTAATACGTAAATGTTAATCTCAGTGACGAACTCTTCTTCACTACGACTAGAGACATACATCATTAAGTGCATATGAGCAGTGGTGGATGCCATCTTGAAATAAAAAAGATAGCAACCAGACAACCGTATGAATGATTTACATAACAAGAACATGCACTCACACGGTATTCTAACACGGAATGAACTTGATACCTCGAATAAAAGCCCTCCATGACCAAGGAGGAAGCACTTGTATGCTTTGATTGATTTACTTCATATATTTAAAGTTTACTAGTAAAGTGTACGTGCAACCACCTGCTGATCCTTTTATTTGGAACTTTTTTGTAGTTTTCTTAAGAGAACAGTGAGCAAGTGCATAGTCATTAAGATGTTATGCACAGTTAGTGAAGGATTAATAAGGATAATGAGGGTTAATGGGTAGAAATTAAATAGGTAATTGATGGGAGGTTATGAATATGTAACCCACATTAAGAAGTGGGTTGTCATTTTAATATATATTTTTCTTCTGACCTACATAATTAAATTCTCATATAATTTTTTAGTCATCTTCAACGTGAAAGCTTGCAAATTTTAAGAAACATGAGTTATATAGGTACCTTCTACCAAGCCCATGGGTTGAGGTTTTCTGATTCATGCCAAATCTACTGTCGAATGAAATGTTTGTAGTGTGCAGTGGTAGTGTAAACCCATTTAGCATGAACCGTTTTTTTGTTTTCTTATGTGTGAATTGCATGTCACAAATGCATTCCTTTAAATTAAGAATATGTTGTTTTCTAATTAAAGGTTGATAAAATGGTTAGTTTTCTAGAATAGTTTATATCAGTTCAAACATTTTCACTTGGTATAAACCCATCTTTTAGTATGCATAGTTTCGAATAAGTTCTAATTGCTGAACTGAAGTATGTGACATGAATATGAGGATCATCCTTGCTTGTTATAATTTTATAATGATTTTTAGATGCTATCTATTCAAAACAACATGCTCTTTTGTCATCATATAAACGCACAAAAGCATAAAGTACCTGCTCAAATGAGTGCAATACATACAAACAAAAATAACCATACATAAGCTACAAATCTCTAGTATTCATTTGCTATTTATAGTAGGAAGCAATTGTTCTTCCTATCATAATAAATCCTCACCGGTACTGTAGTAGAGTCCTATATCACTTTTCTTTAGACCTCTGCAATAGAAAACAGGAATTTTGATGGTTGCGGGTTGTGAGTCATACGGATTTGGCCCCTTTCTTATTCTCTAAATTTTGATTAAGCATGGGAATTTTGTTTGGAGAAATTTGATAAGATTTTGTTGTTATTTATAGTGACTTGGTGGGAGAGGACTAGTCATAACGTTTTTCATCATTAATGTCAAGAGTTAGTGGAAGAAGGTTATGAGTGGGTGTCTAAATAAAAAATTAATGGCAATCAAGAGGGAGATTATGAAAAATTGAGTACGTATGTGTCATGTATGTATGGATGGATGTGCAGGAGAGCAACTTTGGAAAGAAATGTATGAGAAATTGAGTATGCATATGTGGTTAGTCTACATATGGGTGGATGTGTTGGAGGGCATTTTGCAGAGAAATGTTTTAAGATGGCAGTCTACTTTTATAATAGAATTAGATATGGTCCTCCAGAAAAGTAAGCTTATTTCCCTCTTTAAAACTTCTTGTGGACTGTCAATGTCTTAATAAGAAACATACAACATTTAGTTTAACAGTGACACTCAAAACAAGTCAGTGTGCTGACCATAAATGCATATCATTGGAAGGAAACTTATTTTAGCGGCTTACATCAACCCACTGAAGCATTATTTCAGTCTTATAACATGAAATTCGGTTCTCTAGTAAACCCTCCCAAGCCAGAGTTTGTGTAGCGGCAAGGATTTTAACATGGTGGAAAAACAGGCAAGATGGAATCTAGCCACTCGTGTTTTTGAGAAGGAAATTTACAATAATAGTACTTCATACAAGCCAAGGTCTCAAATTGCCAAGCATAACATGAAATTATGCTTTTGAGAATAATACAAAACACTCGTGTTTTTGAGAATAATACAAAACACTCAGCCCTCATCACAACTTCCTAGCTTAGCGCTGTGGAAGGGACTTCAACAAACAAAATGAAGGCATGGACATGGGGAATTGAGATAACTTGTTCCTTTCCTTCTCTTTTTTCCTTACAATTTGAGGTGGCACAGATCATTCAAATAACTTCACTATTCAATACAAGTCGTGTAATGACAAAGGAATCCACATATTTCATTTTAGAACACAGTGCTGTACTGCTGATCCCAAAATCAAGGGAGATACACAGCAATCATGCATTCAGATACACAAATGGGAAAATATATACAATACTTAAGTTATCTAAGAACGCTGGTTTTCTAAATTTACCTCATTATATACTTCAGCAAATCTTTTATTCCCAACTCTAGGAGAGCCAAAGTTGTACATAGTTAGAGAAATTGCATCGCGCCTATCACCAAAACATTAAAATACATCTGATATTACATCTGAAGGAAGATAATACATGTATTAAAAACTTTCACTTAATTCAACACTTGAAAGCATACTTAAACATAAAATCTAGCCCAAATAAGCAGCAAATGGAATCGTACAAACTCACTTGGCCATACGAGTTGATGAAAGCTCCAAAGCAAGGAGGGTAGCAAGGGCACCACCTAGACTATGTCCTGTGATATACACATGCCATTTGAGTATGCTTCCCAAATTATCTTCTCTGCAGGGAAAATTAAAATCTGAGAAGTAAATTGTTTTCTGAGAACAATGTTTGCTGTAGCCAACTTAAATGGGGTATGTAAAGAGAAGCAAATGGACAACTTGCACATCAGAAAGAAAAGGTTAATAAATGTAATATGATTTAAAAAAACACCTTCCAATTGAAAGGTATACAAAATTTATGCAAATATAGGTCATGATTGTGCTTAAAAACAGTTTTATTAAGGTTTGTGATGCATGACTTACGAGTAGCCTATCGAGAGTTTAATAAGGGCCATAATCCTGTTCCTGACAGAATCATATGCATTTAGAAATCCACTATGAACCTGTCAAATGCCAAGATGGGAACACAGCAAGTTAAAAATATCTAGTATGAGCAGCAACCAACAAGAGGTTAATAGGAATTAAATATATGGATAAAATACCTGGACTTCTTCCTTGAAGTCACTCCCCAACCTCTCAGGGTTTAGTCTGTATAATTGGATTAGATATAGTAAACCAAAGTGGATAAAAATTACAGGTCTCAGAAGGTTATGATTCCTTTTGCAACAAATAAATATAATTATGGATACTACATAGCCAAGAAATATAGGCCACCATACTTAGGACAAATCTCAGCAAATAAGAAATGGTTACTTGTTCAAGGTCTTAAATATTGCATGAATCACTAGTTAGACATAACAAATTATTTCCTGTAAAGAATAAAACTTTATCATAAACATAACACACATAGCATACACATCACTTTCACTTGGCAAAAGATAACTGACTAGTAGAATCTTATACGGCCCCCCCCCCCCCAAAAAAAAAAAAAAAAAAAAAAAACCCAAAAAACACACACAAACTTAAATAAAAAAAACAACAACAGACAATCCCCAACATACACACATGCAAAGAAAAGCGTACGCTAAAGTTCATCTGTGAGGGAACAGAATTGTTACCCAGCAGGAAGAAGCATAAGATCAGTGCGCAAATCCTTCCATTTAACCTACAACATCAGATGATAATTGCCATATCAAAAGTCTCAAGACACATACACTCATAATCAGAGAAATATTTCGGACAAAAAGACATGAATAAACTGCACGATCATCAGACAGATTAACATACCTGTTCAGTGCCTCTGAAAGCTACAATGAGTCTTCTCCTTTTGGTGTCCCGCCAAATGGCTACCTGCAAATCCAGAATCACAGTTCATTATATCTCCCAATTTAAAGTAAAAGTGTTACTTTCATTTAGAGTCCTTGCTTATGGGATAAACAAAACACTGGTACGAAAAACCATCGACATGAGACTTGCCTGTGTGTCAGTAGAAACATTGTCAAGAAAACAAATCTTCTCAAATTCTGATTTTATAAAGCTGTTCCGGCCCAATGAAGTTGCAAGCATAGCCCAAGCCTCCATAGCACTTTCAGCACTTGAGAATATTTTCTTCATCTCTTCTTCTTTACTCACATCGGATGATAAAACTCCCACTGTTATTTTTCCAGAGATATCTGAGGGCTGACCTGTAACATCCTCCTCTTTTGCCAATGTAGCATCATTTCCATTATCATTTTCTACCACTAAATTTGAATCTTTTTTCAGTTGAGAAACGTTTGGAGTTAAGACCATCAATGCCCCTAAAACCGCCTCTGTCTGATTTAGCACATCCCAGGATATTTTCCTAAGATCCATAATTGAGGACAAAGCTGCATTTAAGGAGCCCAAGTTACTTGCAGCCTCTTCATCATTTGTTTCTTGGTTAGCCATCGGAGTTGCAAGCCCAGATTGAATATACTCTTCTTCAGCGATCTTTTGAGATTGCGTGCTCATTTTATTTAATGAGTCAAATCCCTCCCACAATTTAATTTCGGGAAGAGAAACTCCAAGTTTCTTAAGTACAGATTGGTTAATACTGTCAGCGAAAGTTTTCCAGAAATACGCATCCGATGGCATGGGTTCATTACTTTGTTTGTTCAGTAGAGAAGGATTTCCCTCAAGAGCATCATGCCGAATAACAGATAAGCTATCCTGTAGCTCAAGGCCTGGGTTATCTACAGACCTCTGTGAACTTCTATCTTCTTGAAGAAGTGTCTCCGGATTTATATCAGTTTTCAAAGATTTGTCAGAGCCTGTTCGATACTCTTCATCACTGTCTGAAGCAGGAAGTGTTTGCAGATAACTGTAGAATGGTTTTAACTGGCCAAATGCAGATTGTACAAAGTCGCTAACGTTAACACTCTCGGATCCAAGAACCAGTTTCAAGGCAGAACCCAAACTGCTTTTCATTAAAATGTCAGAAACAAAAGGAATAGTCCACCAGTTCTTCTCTCTATTGATTTCATCATAACTCTTGTATTTGACCTGAAAAAAGACCAATCATGTTAGATTTCTAAATTACTGGTTACTCCTTTTTACAGAGCAGAAAATAAAGGGTAAAATAATATTAGCATATATTTTTCAGAACTAAGTGTACCGACTTTTCTAGAGTAGATCCTCTATATACATGAATTAGAGGCACAATTTGAACATTGAGCATAGTCTTATGGTAGATTAAGAACAAATTATGATAGCTCCAAGAAGATGATGACCCAGCAAAAGGTTATATTGAATTTCTACCTGAAAAGTATCAAGCAAGGAAGAGTTAGGGTACAAATGAAAAGTAGTAGCAAGGTTCTTGGTTCTACAATTTAATCATACGTAGCTGAGGAGCAAACCTCAAGTATGTCCCAGAGAGGAGAGCATCAAGCCAAAAATTACAGAAGGAAAACCTTAATACATGGGCATTTCACAAACCACATAAAAGCTAAAATCCAACTTTCCTTATTGCAAACTAACATGTCAACATTGGAAGTACTACTTACAAAGTTGACATGCAAGTATACAACATATAAATATAGAGAGGGAAAAAAGAAAAAGAAAGCATGTAAAATGGAAAGAGACGTTAGAACAGAATAGCAGTTATATGAAGGAGGATGTATCATCAGAACCCTTCTTGACTTTTCCTACTAAATTCAGTTGAATCTTACAATTTGCACGAATCCGATAGCAACATGTCATCGACATCATGTAGACTTATAACAAAGTATTACTATTTTCTCATTTGTTTAGCAATATAGACAGAATTCTCTTCTGAAAAACTAAGCACGAGTATGCTACAGGTCATTCACCAAAGCTCTAGCTCAAATGAACCCATAATACATGACCTTTCTGTTTCGTTACCTTCATTAGGTAGGCAATCAACACAGTGTAGGTCAACTGATGCAACCGGTATACTTTTGACTTGGCAAGTAAATTGAATAAAAAATGAGCTACCAAAAGTGACAGAGATATTATGCAACTGCTTACCAAACTTATACGAGGAATATGAGATTGTTATGTACTTGTACCAGAAAATAGGAAAATATCCCTATCACAAGTACAAATATGAATCCACACTGACAAACCTTCTTCCATGTTTAAGCTTAGAATTTAAAAGGGTCAAGTAAAATTACAGGTTAAGGTTTTTATACCTACACTCAATATTGTCAGAGTGTAATGAAGCCATTGGATATAATTTTTTAGTAAGCAATAGTAAGTAATTGAGTACCAAATCTATATGATTTTCTAAAGGACCTTTTTGGGACAGATCTTAAACCTATGATTAACACCTAACTAAATAGAATGCAACAATAAGAATGACAAGAACTGATAAATCTCATACTACAACACATTACATAACCAAATAACTGTTTCTTGAGCCATACTATAATTGATATATCAAGAATATTTCCTTGATAAGATATTTGTTCAATAATAACAAATGATATATCATGAATATTTCCTTCACGGGGTATTCATCACTGTTTTAAATATCGGCCGATAACCGATATTATCGGCCGAGTTATCGGATTTGGGAGCTCTCCGATAGGATAACTTGGATTTTTAATCGGTTATCGTTTTTGGCAAGTTATCGGGGAGTTATCGGCGTTATCGGTACTTATCGGCCGATAAGTAAGGTTTTTTTATCGGGATTATCGGCCGATAAGTAAGGCTATGCAATCGAATGGTTTCATGGTGCGGTCAAGATGTAAGTTTTGCTTTCTACAATTGGTTAGTGATTCTAAATATGATGATTTACATTTTGGTATGTTTATATTTCATTAAGCATGGTTAGATTACATTTTTTAGTTATTATATTATATATATACACCATCTAGTATATCACTCCGATAAATACTACTTATCCCCGATATATCCCCGATTTCCGCTATCCGATAAGAATTTTGGTCGTCCGATAAATTGCCGATAACCGATATTTAAAACCTTGGTATTCATTCAACAACACTTTACCTCTAAATATATCTTTCCACCACCTCCAATGCCTTCTAGTTCCAACATAATCTCGTGTATGTTTCCTGAAGGAAAAAAAATTCACTTCAGCTTTAAAAAAAAGAAAGAATACATTTTGACTTAGCATATAAAGCAGATATGCATCTAATTCAATGCCCGTATATTCAAGCCAAATTTAGATTATTACTGATCAAACATGAATCTGAAAATGATAATAGATTATTTAACGAATGACTAGAAACACTTTTTGTTAACATAAAGACATTGAATAGAAATATATGGAAATGTCACACCTAGAAAGTCAGCAGTTCAATTAACACACAACTTAATAAATAAGATGCCTTCAAGTAGATATCCACATGCCATTCTTCCATATCACAAAAGTCTAAAGAGAAAGTTGAAGACAATAGTATGGTGGAGCCAAGCAAATGGAAAAGCAGCAAACATCACTCTCACCATCGCAAAGTGATTCCAGGTTGAGCCCTGCATTTCCCATTCGCTTGTGTGGAGTCACAAGGTTTGCATCCCAAGCAGCAACCTAGGTAACAAAAAAGACTGTGGATCTGGTAATACAACAGAATCAATGCAGTGATACTAGACAGCATAGATCTCTCTGTAAAAGTTCTTTTAGTTATGTTGTCTGCAAATAACTTGATCAAGCAAAGGTACAATACTTCTTGTTACCAGAAAATAAAAACACATCCCAGAACCTCTGAGAAAAGAATGGCAAAAAAAGATGATGTTCACTGACTCGCTTCTACAATTTAACATCAGATAATAAAGCTAAAAGATGAAGAAAAGGAGGTAGAAAGATGTAGAAGGTGAGGGGACAAGCAGGTACATTTCAACAGAAACAAACACAATATAAACATCAAACAGCCACAAGATGTGATCTGTGGTCTGTTATGCAGGTAGAAATCCAGAAACCGAAGGGGAGAGAAAGAAAAGAGAGGTTACAATCCAATCAAGAGTGATGATGGAGAAATTAATGCAATAGGACCAATAACAAGAATATGAGAGGGGAATCCCTGATGTACCCAGTATGATATAATAACTGATTGCGCTTTGCCCTGTCGAGTAGCATGTCCTCTTCCGTGAATGTAATGGTTGCCGCTTTAGCTTCTCATAAGGCATGGCACTTACTCAAACAAGCGTTGAAAGTATTTCTTTCAAACCAAGGTGTTAAAGCCCCCAAATCCCCACAGACTGAATAGTTTAAACATAAGCTAAGATACACACACATAAATTAAAAAAAAATAACTATGCAACATCATGAAAGAGAAAAGAAGACAAGTGCTGTAGAAAGGAGGAATAATACCACCCCGAGAACATAGAAGCCCGGATAAAGAAGCATAGAAAGATATTTAAAGTAACAGGCACCACTGCGAGTCCATGGAGTCGGTGATGAATGTCGGCTTCCGGTCACTTGATTAATGTCAACGATCAATATTACAAGACCAAGTTCCTGATCGATGTCATACCCTATCTGTAATATGCTGTAAGAAGCATCATGACCTCCATCATCAAGCTCACCACAACCATTGGACCATCGCGAGAGCAGCGATGGGAAGAATCAAAGGAGGTGGAAGCCTAGGCAATTCTACAAACCATGACTTTCGTCAAAGTTCAAGAAAACTACATGTGGACCAGGGTGGTGTGAGACTAAAGTACTGTAAAGACGATGGCATAACAGCTGCCTAGTGAGGTTGTCACCTTCACTTCGCATATTTGAGCAAGGTGGCTATGAATAGGCTTCCCCTACCACTGGATCAGATAATCTATAAAGGGGATGGGAAAATAAACAGAAGGAAAATGAAGCCAATGCCAAGCTCAGTCCACACTTTTTGATTACAACTGATAGCTTGGTTGCAGCCCAAAATTCACATGGCAAGGCAGCTCTTTGCTGCAAAGGTACATAAATAATGGAGTAAACAAGAGAAATCAGAGGTTAGTATTTTCTATCGTACCTGAAGATTAAAGTCATTAGGATTAAGCCCCTGTATGATCATATCTGTGCATGTGGGATTTATTTATTTCTTTTCATCTTCTTTGCTTTCTTAAAGATTTTACTACTGGCAGGGTTGAGGGGTACTAGGAGAAGGACTGTATTTATACCATGAGCAAAATTCTTCTTGATGTTAAGTTTGTGCAATTCATAACTGAAATCTATGAATCATAAGATATCAAGATAAAATGGCGTATTTTGAATTTCAGAAGTCTAGCAGGTAGTAGTAGTATGAAACCTGCTAATCAAATCTACCAAGATGAGCTGCACAAACGATACATATTGGTGGCAACTATGAAAATAATGTCTAATAAGGATAAAAAAGTATGCATCCTACCCACGAATATATGCAATCTCGCATACTATTATAATAAATTCGAAAGTTCTCATGCTTAGACTATACCTGTAAAATATTTGTTCTAGAAATCTTGATATTTAAAGTAAAATCTTCATTCCATACTGGGTCCTTCGTCCTGATATCATTCAATGTTTGTATTATTAGACGCAAAAAATAACCATTATGAGAGAACTTTTATTACGAAATGCTTGAAAGCTCTCATGAACCACTTTGCACTGCTCAGTGAACTAAATAGAACAGTGTGATTTTTAAGAAGCCAGTATAACAGCATGAACTAAAATGTCAGATGCATTCTGCATTGATGCCCTCTGAAATCATTGTTATGATAACAGGCAACTCAGCCATATCTGATGACATATCAAGGGGAGAAATTTATAGATAAAACTTGTTATGTTTGATATTGTTTAACAAACTAATGATACGACTTGAATATTAAATGTCATCCGCATTCTGCATTTATGTGGTTTGAAATAAATGTAATTGCAAGTGGAGCTTCTATGTCACTATAGCTCTAATGTTAATGTAAATCCTATATTTCTGATACCACTATCAATGAAATCAATGGAAACAATGTAATTGCTATATTTCTGATGTCACTATTAATGGAACAAGTTTCTGGAAAAGAGCTGGTTTTAGTAATGAAGCCTTCATTGTACATGTAAGAAATATAGAACAAAATTTTGAACCACTGCAATAAGCTTATCAATGAAAATTAGATCAGTGTATTGCTCAGAACATCATCATACAGCTATTACCTTATCCGTAAATGTTATTGAACTATGCCATTATGGTGGAAGGTTTGACAAATGCGGAGGCTTAGAGATTCTACATAATGAAATAGTTCATAGCCTTCAGAACATAGTCAAGCTCATGTTCAAAGATATTCTCGAGAATTCAGAATTAAGCTGCAAAAACTATCTTGAATGGACTGGTTATTACCATCTAGTATTAAGTAGGCTAGCTTGGATTCTATAGGTGTGATCAAAAGAATATGTTATCACCAATGAGAACAATAAATGGCATATAAAGAAAGAACCTCAATGTACAGCAGAAAATAACTTACGCCCACTTGACCTTGCTTTTCACAACCTGGCCATCCAATTGCAGGATAACATATGGATCACTTGTCCCCTGAAAGTTGAGATAGTTACCCAAGGAGTCCTTAGCAATAGAAGACCTAAGGATAACATTACTGCACAGATAATTGTTTCACATACTGAACAGAACTTATACCAACAAATGGGCGAAAAAACAATTATTAGACGAAAAGCAATAAAAGAAAATTTTCTGGCTTTAGTGCTTTACTAGATAATTCCATGCAAAATGAAAGAGCAATACATGACAGTACATAAGAAATTCATTATAGAGATAACAATGTTATACAGGCACCATTCTGAGCACAGTTTGCTTGAGAATTGTAAAAGTGTTATGGTCGCTGTTGTAGGATAGTATGGGGCAGAAATAGTAGACCTGGATAGATCATATATTCTATCTTTACTGTATGGAATTAGTACAATTTCCAGCTCTAGCAGGCAATGCTCCTTCGAGATGATGAAGGAATATATCATATATGCCCAGAAAGCACTCTAACTTGCTGTTGAATATATGTTAGTAGAGAGAGAGATGTCTCTCTGAAGCTCTACAGATTGGGTAAACTAGCTCGTAAAGTGATGCTTATTCTATTAATCCTGCCAAGGGTCTCCTCAAAAATGGTGTGCTGGTCTGTTAAGTTACGTGGTTTTTGTTGGTTGTGCTTATGTCTAGCGATACATTTACGCATCACACCGAAACAGCTTTTGCTGAGGGTTAGCTTAACATCTACTCGTATCTGAGATGAAGAACACCAAAGCTACAAACTAACTGCAATATAAAGATGATGTTCTATGCAAGCTTGCATAAGTATGATCAAGTACCAGGAACACGAATATTAGAAGGACATTTATGAAGAAAATTATCAAATTAGACCTTTCTAAGTAGTATAATACTTGTTATATGTCAATTTACATTTCTTGTTTGTTGTACTCTATCTCATGCGTTCCCAGGTATTCTGAGTGCATATACCATATAAAAAGTAATGTTCATGTTATTACTTGGTTACAAAGCTGACATTTTTCGGCTCCTATATCAGATGCCGAGAATTCAAGGTATGTTAGAATATATAAGTGTTTGGTTCAAAAGTCGCTGCTGTGGAATTCATTATAACTTTGTTCTATTACAACAAATTCGAAAGAATAATCTTTTTATAAGACTTTTTCTACACAACAAAACAAAAATTACAACTCTTGAGAAACAAACACGAAAATCGTCTATCAATTCTCGTTTTCGTGGGACTTTGCCTGTGCCGGGAACGCTTTGGTTCGTGGACCGCCGATTCACAGATCGTGAAGAGGGGGCTTATGATTCTAACTTCGTTATCGAAGTAGAAATTGAAACGATATCTTATCGAAGTAAGATAGTCGTTCTTCTTAAAATCAAGTCGAAGCTTAATTTCAAGGCGTTGCAAGAAAAGAACTCAAATCTGCTCTCTCTCTGCTCTGGAATGCTCTCACAAATGCTCGATCCTCGTCAGAAGTGACCCTAGGGGGGTATTTATAGCCTCAAGGGTCTGTAACTGCAAAAACTCAGCAATCATAGAAATCAGTACGGCGAGACAGTGTTTGCTGTCTCGCTGGGGCGAGACAGTGTTTGCTGTCTCGACCCGCGAGACAGTAAATTTGCTGTCTCGCCCAGCGAGACAGTAAATACTGTCCCGGAAAATGACAGTTTCTCGCTGTAACCGCTCTCCCACGTTTCAAACTCCGTTATTTTAGCAGTTATCCACGTGATTTTCGTCCACGATGTTTCCCACGTCTCTTGGCAGTTAATGGACACGTGTAGGGCAGTTACAAAGGTGGTTTTGACCATTTCAACACTGTCTCGCTGGCGAGACAGCAAATACTGTCTCGCTGGCGAGACAGTTCATACTTGTTTTGATTTTTCCAAAACAGTATGAAATCCTTTCTTGTGAATTTTTGAGTGATCTTCTCTATGCTTGGGATATCTATTAGCATTTTTTGACGCCTACAGATACCCCCTCCAAAGTATTCCAGACTCATGAAATCCTTTCTCGTGATTTTTTGAGTGATCTTCTCTATGTTTGGGATATCTATTAGCATTTTTCGACGCCTACAGATACCCCCTCCAAAGTATTCCAGACTCATTCTTTTATAGAGGAGCATGAGATACTTTGGATAAGATAGATTTTACTTACGATCCCTTCAATGCTTGGCTGAGTAGATCGTGTGGAAGAACTTGTAAATGGCTTCAATGCTTGATCTCTTCTGCTTTTAGTCTATTCAGTTCTTCGTAGAATAGCTAATGTTCTCCCGGCGTCGCGTTTATCGCTTGACCGTTGTCGAGATCTTGAATTGAAGTTGGTATTTGCTCTTGTGAATTCAGCTTTTACCACTGAATTGGTATATCCATTGAGAATTCCTCAGGTTATCCTTAAGAATATTCAAATTAATATTCTCCAGAAACTTCCTATTGAGGGTGGGAATACAGTTTAGACTCGTGTACCCATTGGAGTATTCATTTGCATTACATTTGGCTTTTGACTAAGAGAATGTCTGCCGTCTCATGCTGTGAGACAGTGTTTGCCGTCTCGC